AGTTTTTTATTATATTTAAATGAAAAAGCAAAATAGGATAATTATAAAGGATGTAACTATAAATGGATGTGATTATAAAAAAATTTAATTATATTCAAAAGAAAATTTTTCAGATTCACATTTTATATTTTACAAGAATTCCATAATTTAAACTAAATATAATGAATATAATTATAAAAGAATATATTTATTAAGTTAAATTTAGGTTTTTAGAAAAAGCAAAATTTTTTTTTGTTTCATATTTCATAATTCGGATCGAATTCTATATCACGTGAAACTACCCGACTCCGTAATTAGATCTATGATTTTTTTTCAAAAATTTTTTTTGGGTCGTTTCTGTCTTCATTTTACCAAGTATATAAAATATTGGTGAGAAAATAACCGTTGCAATGTTAAAATAATCGTAATGAAATGATGACTATCATTAAAAAATTTCAAACTAGAGTTTCTGAATAAGAAAATTTAATGAACGAGATTGGCACATCTGAAATCACTACTATAATAATATTAATTAAAAGATATTGTAAATAAAAGTCTTTCGTGATGCTTACTAACCTGACTTTTTTCCTTGTGTCAAGAAATCGGATATAACCATTTTAATGAAATTAACTCCAAGGTAAGTAAATAAAATATTTACGCTTTTTAAAAGCTCGATAAGCAACAAAATTATATGGTGATGATACATGCAATTGAAAAAAGCTGGAATTACCGACTGAACATATATGTTGATAATTCATTGCACCAAAATACTTCTGAGAAATTTCAAAATAATAAACCAAATTCTGTATCAATTTTTTTTTCCAATACTATTAATTTTGATTTCTTTTGAATACATAATATACCACATAGATTATTGACTTACCATCATCTCGAACATTATGTGAGAATTGGATTATATCATATCATATGTATTTATTAGCACCTATTATATACACAAAGATTTTTGGTGACAAAAAATAATAAATGGTATGTAACTAATGATTGAGTAAATAAAGTTTTTTATGTATGAAGAAACGCACTGGGCACTGAAATTAATATGTTGATATTGCAATTATTACCGGCCTAGAAATCCGGCACTGATGATTGATGAATTGAAACATTGAAAAATTCTTTATTTTTATCTAATTCACCTTTTATCTAAATAAAAACAGATACATTCATCAGAACAAGAATTACGATGAACTAGAAAGTCGAAAAGTAATTATGAATCAATTGGTAAATTCTCGATTTTTTGCTTCAGAAATCTCTTAACAAATACACAAGATATATCGAATAGAAAAGTAGAAAGAAAAGGGAATTGATGAATATAAAGATGACGAGTCTGAATTTACATTTGCTGAAACTCACCTTATTTTACCATTCATGCAAAACTGATCTCTATATTATTATATATTTATTATTCTCTTGATAGATATGATTACTCGATTTTGAACTTGATATTGTTATTAACACTCTTCTACAATATTATTAAATCTTAAGAAACGGCAATGATTCAATACGGTAATTTCCTATGAAATCCCTTTTGTTGAGAATATAGTCAAATGAGTATTTGTAATCTTGATGCTCAACGAGACAAAGTAAAAGGTAAATACTCTTTATTTCTAAACTTTTATAATCAATCAAAAGATGATGATGTTTTCAATGACAAGCATATGTCTGAAATTTGTGTTGAAATTTTTGAAGTTTCTGATTGATCTTCGAACTTTTAATTTTTCTTTCAATGGTTAAATTTTTCTGACTAATTCTTTTTTATTCCATTAGTATTTGTTGCTATCAATTCGCCATATCTGTAAATGGCCACAAACATATGTTGCTCTTATATGGTTAATCCACTTACTATAGAACTTTAATCGCGGATAACATAGAAGTTAGATTTCTAAAAGTATGTAATTTATTTTTTTTGTTATTTATACAACGCATAATTAATAAGTTAATTGCATATAACTATATCGTAAGTTTTTATATTGCTACGATCTAGTAAAGTCTAGGTGAATATCCAAACATCTTTCTTTTATTACAAACAGTGATGATGATACTCTACATAATCACGACGGTCTTATTAGACTTTAAATAAAGGTCGATGATTAAACTGCCACATTTGGTGGCATTTATCTGATCAAAAACAAATTATTTACTTATTTATTGTTTTTGATTTTACAATTAACTTCTCGTTTTCTTTTCTTTTCTTTTTACATAGGAAGCCGGACAACAATCCGTTATTTTATCATTTTCTCTTCTTATTTTCTGAATCATTTATAAATGCATTCTAAATTATTAATCATTGTTAGTACCAGAATGTATATCATATTATATAATATGCATTCAAGTTTATTTGTCAAACATTTCAAATACAAAGAGCTTATTAACGCAGCAGTTAGATATTGATGGGATTAATGAAAAAGATAATTATTATAAACAAGTATCATCCAGAAATAAGCATTATCCCAATTTTATTCAAATTATAAATAAGTATCACTACAAAAATATATTTTAAAAATATATAAAATTTATTTTTGTTCATTATAATTATATTTTTATAAACCATTTTCTTATAATTAATAAACATAAATATTATATGAATAATATAATTTTTATTACTAATAAAAAAATTGTATATAGTTATAATTAAGAATGGTTTTCAAAATTAATCTGTTGAAATTAAATCTGATTGATTTTATTAGTAATTTACACATAATTTATCAGAACACCAATTAATTCTTTTTAATATTACATTATTTATTAATTTATTTTACTATTATAATATTATTGAATCTAAATTCATTCTATTTTAAATTAATTTTTGTTTAATATTAATTAATATAGTGTTAATATCACTCTAATTTAAATTGTATTGCTTAGATTAAATTAATATTATACTTATCATTTCTTGATGTTATACTTTTTCTAAATTAATCTTATAATTATTTTTAAGTAACATTATTTATCATATAGATCTGTATTACATTTACATGTATTTAAACAAATGTAATTTAACATATAACAACAAGTAATTTAAAAGTAATTTTGAGAAATAAATTATAAAGTAACTTGAAAGTAATCAAATAATAAAAATATAGAAGTTAACTAATATTTTTAAATAATTATTATTATCTTTGATTTATTATTTACTCAACTTTGACTTATCCAACTAGTAGAAGTTATTTTTTGTATTTTAATAAATCATTTACACTTTTGAATTATAAAATACTTGTTCAATTAGTAAAAGTATTAGAATTTATTTCTTTTTATACTCTCTCCCAACTATCTAATATTTAATTCTCTCAAGTACACAGTCATTATTATCATTTTTATATAATTTTTAATTAAATACTATAATTAGTTCATATTTTGTCTATTTATATAAAAATAGTAACAATATAAATAATATAACAAAACTAAATTACTTGCTAAAATACTATTTTTTCAAAAATAATTTAGATAATTATTTTTAGTTATAATTTATTATAATTAGTATTATAAATGACTTTCAATATAAAAAAATCACTGAATTCAATTAAATTTTTCTTATATTAAGAATTTATTATAATATAAAAAAGATTTTATATTATAAAAAAATCAATTTTATATTAAGAGTTTTAATATATAATTAAATTATTTATTTTTTTATTAGTTAATTTATATTTATTATTATTAAATAAATATTAAGTTAAGTTAAAGTTAATTAATTAATGCAAAATTTGAAGATATATGATTAATAACTTCTGATACCATATCAAGATTCTTAATAATAATAACTTTTGGTAATAATTGATAATTAAGTACTCAATAAATTTGTGAAAATGCTTGATGCTCTTAGTTTTTCTAATATAATAAAAATCAAAGAATTTTTGATTTTTCCTAACAAAATATTGTATATCAAATTTTTGAGGATAACCAAATTATCATAAAATTTGCAAATATATTTAGATAAAAGAGATAAAAATCAAAAATCTGGATAAAAATAATAATAGTACTAAAATAATAATTATTAATATTAATATAGTATTAGAATATTTGAGTATTAGATTGTTTTTACTTTAACAAAATGGAACAACAAATCAAATAAGGTTGGTGAGTACTTTAGAAAAGTTTATTGAAGGAATAAATACAACAATTTTATATAAATAAATATTATTAATGATATTACTATAATTAATCTTATATAAACAAATATTATTAATAATATTAATCATTATAATTATATAATTAATATACAAATTATATAATTTTAATTTCAGAATTTTCTAAATATATATTTTTAATTGGTTCCAGAGAAATGCATTTAGAAAGATTTATCTATATAATAAAAATAATTATAAAAAGATTTAATTATATAAAAATATATAATTTAATAATTTAATAAAATTTAAGCTAAAAAAATCCAATTATTTTGAAAAAATTTATATTAAAATATTATTTAGCAATAAATTATCAATTAAATTATTTTATTAATTTAAATTTAAAACTTAAAGTCTAATATTTAATATCTAGATAAATCTTATAAAATAACCAAATTAAAATTTTAAAAGTAAAAAAATTTTTTATTAATAGCAAAGTGATATATCAACATTTTTGCACTGGACCATATATTCTAAATTCACACTCAGCTCTTTTCCATAATTATCACTAAAAAAAATAAAAAAGTTAATAAATGCGACAGATTAAAAAGGGAAGCAGATGCTTGGTGTTCAAGAAACGTAGTTTTTGTTCATACTCTCATAGCCTGATTCAAATTTATCCAATCAAAAACTATCGACAAAAAATTGTTCAATTCGTTCAATTTTCTCACACCACTTTTTTAGACCGGTTTTTTGTCGCTTTATTTACTCGGTTGCTTGTAACTAATTACCACTACCGATACAATTGTCGTTTTCTCCACTTTATAGCTAAAATAAATATAATATACAGTTTTTCTCCAGCTTAAAATATACCAAACCTTTTAGTTTCCATTCCATAATAAAGTAAAATCCAAAAAGGATATTTTGCTTGTAAATATAATAATGTACGAAAGTAATCCCACCCTTTCCGCACTGCCAATGCAATCTACAAACGAAATACAAAACTTAATGTACGATTACTTTGACAACGAATACACTGCTCCTGGGAGTAATAATCAACCTGCTTCGCAACAACAGCCACCATCACCTCAATCTCAATCTCAACCACAACCACAACCTCCAACCACTACACTAGCCGATTTCGATGCTCAAATACAGGCATTATTTGCAAATAATGGTGCCGAATTGATTCCTTCATCGAATTTCACAAATCTTCAATGGGAATATGATAACGAGTCGGCCTCCTCGCCGGAAAATGCAAGCATTTTCACTCCAGAGATGTTTTCGCTGAGTTCTCCGGAAAGCTTCGCGCAAATTCATTCGCCACTCTCTTATACTACTGGCGACGATTATGAGTCCATGTCACCACCTCCACTTAATAATAATTTGATCGAGTTTGCCAATTCAAATGATCAACTAATGACAGATTTTGGCTATCAATTGTTTCCAACTAAAATGGAGTTTGCATCCGAGAATGTAAGAAAGCGACAAACAATAGGGGAAGGGGATGCTATTTTTGATGAGGGTGAACACGAAAATACAAAGAAGAAACAACGAAATTCCAATGCTGATCAATATACAAAAAAAATATCATTAAATAATAACAATAATCCATCATTTCTAAGCAATACGGAACAATTAATCAAGGATGAACCTGTTGATCAAACCTCTACAAATACTACTACAAATTCGTACGCTCAAAACCTGATTATGTGTCTGGCTGATGGAATTGCTACAAATATTACTGGTACGCAAAACATCGTGGTTCCTGGTTCTCCCACTATTAGCCCCGCCCAATTATCCAGTGATAATTATGAGGAGAGTACATTATTGGCTTTTGATCAAGATGTATGGCCAAGTACTACTAGTGCCACTAGTGCCACTCATTCCGTTTCATCACAACCTAACTACGTAAAAAGTTTGAATCCTACAGCTTTACAAAACGGGGCATCTCGTAAGTGTTAATATTAATCGTTGTTCTAGGATGAATATTTTCTGACTATGTAATATCTCAATAATAGTTTCGTTACCATCACAAGACGAGATAAACACAACAGCTACCATCGGCAGCACCCAAAACACAAATACTTCTTCCCCCGCCACCTTAAACAACACTGTCACCAAACTTCCAATCACACGTCTTAAACCTCCAGTTGGTTCACAACCAACCAACAACTTACCATCACAACCCAATAAGCAACAAAAGAAAGTTGCACATAATGCGATAGAACGGCGCTACAGAAATAACATTAATGATAGAATTAATGATCTCAAGAATGTCGTACCAGCTTTATGTCATCTAAAAAGTAGAGATGGTAAAGATGATGATGAAGACGAGGAAGTTGATGGCATTCCTGCCGCCACTAAATTGAATAAAGCTACAATACTAAGGAAAGCCACCGAGTATATTAATTATCTGAAAAAGAATAACCAGCAATTGAAAGTGGAGAACGATCTATTAAAGAAAATCGTTGAAGATCTACCTGGTGGCATAGAACTTTATCACTCTTATTTCAGTACATCTGTAAAACCGAGTATCGCTGAACCTCATCTTAACGAACCTTCATCCTCTCTTCGAGATACTCGTTCAAGAGCATTTATGGCATTATTTATGTTTGTGACTTTCTTTACCTCGCCATCTCAACACGGTCATGATCATTCTATCGGGTCACATCAACATGAGCCAGCACGTGCTTTGGGATTGTCTTCTAATGAGAATATCGTAGAGAATGCTCCTCCTACTGGATTCTTTGTTAATGGTGGAACTCTTACTATTGATATTTGGTGTGTATAAACCAATCAACGATTTAATGTAATATTTTAATAACTAATATTTTTTTTCTTTGAATAAATATTCTGCAGGTATTTAGCAAGAATGTTCACTTTCTTGCTATGTATCATCTACATCTTGAGGCCTTCATTCTTGTCGAGTCATCCTTCACGCGCTAAAGATTTAAACCAAGTCATCACGTCTATATTGGCTGCTAAAAACAAAAGTGCAAAGGAATTATATCGATCTCTTTCAAAACTGATTTCACCTTATCCAACGAATAGCGTGGAATTATTTTTCGGATTCATTACTGAATCACTTAAAATGTTGACTCGATGGAGAACTTTTGGTGGCTCAGTTAGTCAAAATATGGAGTCAGAGATTAGCCTTTGGGGTCGACTTGGTGAAGTTGAATTATGTGGAGGTTGTTTTTTTTTCTAGAAATAAATATTGATTTTACCATATAGAATCTATGTTAATTATGTCTCCTTTTTTTCAAGGCAATGAAAAGGTTTCTCGTCTCTCTATTCTATACACCACTTTGCGTACCGTTAATCTTTTGGAAGCAGCCAACATCAACATCAGCTCTAGTCTATGTGTATTAAGTCCTTCACGTATATATGCTAACGCGGCTATACAATGCTTCATTGGGTTCCATTCATTCCCATACATTGCACAAAAGACTGCTGCTCATTTTTGGCAAAAAGCAAAAAATTGTAAAGGACATAACGGCACCGAAGAAAAATGGTTCGAAGTCGCATTGACCAGTGATCAAACCACCGATATATGGAAAGGAGTAGTTGATCAAATTTCTAAGCTCGCTTTCCAAAAAGGTCAAATCTCGAAAAATGCAGATGAAGAGGAAATCATCACGCCTACAATACCACTCTATAAGATTTCTGACGCTCAAACTTTATTCCAACTCAAAGACGCATACTATAATTTCATTTCTGAGCAATACGGGAAAAAGAAGAATAACAAAGGACATTCTTTTTCTTTTGCTGAACTTTTGAGAATGAGCAGTCAAACATCCGTGACACATTGGTACACATTGGTTGGATACGCACTTGCCACTTTTTCTCGTAAGGATAACGTCGCTGGTCTGGATATCATTAATCAATTAAAAATATTTACAAAAAACGCGGGTATCAGTAATAACAAACAAATCCTTGAAATGGGATTACTCTCCTATGCTTTATTGATGTACGGAAAAATTGAAGCTTCAACTCGATTCGCTGATAATGCTTACGCTGCAATCGTAAAAAGAAATCAAGCTGAGAAAATTGTTTCTGAAAATTCCACCCACTCGGAAGATCATGAAAATGACAATGATGAACTATATAAAATAGAAAGAGACATTCATGATCTCGCGGAATTCTGTGTTGGTCGGATTGTGCTAGAAGCTCGCATCCTAAATTGGAAAGTCATGGAGGAATTATCCTTGCAAAATAAAGATGTGGTAATCCCCGAAGTTCTCGATATCAAACGATTAAAGCCTGGTGTACGGCGATGGTTACTTTATCTACGACGACTTGTTAATAATGAAATATTTAACGGGATTGCAAAGACGCGACGAGAATGTTTAAAACAGTTCCATGCTCTTACCTACATTGTAGGTGGACTAGAGGAAATAGAGGATTCTGGATTTGAGTGTGATGACAGAGGGAAAATAGAAAAAAGAGCTGCACAAGCTTGGCAGGCATTAAAAAAATCCTAACGCTAAACACTAAATATTTAAATTATTTATTATCGTTATTTTCTACTATTATCACTTTCATTACCATCATTATTTCTCTTTTACTGTTGTAAGAATTGTTTTGTAATACTGATTTTTTGTCATTTCAATATATTGTATATATTTTTATTCTCAAATACACATTTTCCTTAGATGCGCCAATAAATATATGAACTCAAGTTGGATTAGCGAATAAAATAATACTATCATCACCATCGTGATGACCATATATTTCAAATTTAATATAAGAACAAGAAGCTACTCAAGAAAGGGAAATTATAACCTTTTTTAACGTTCCTCGATCGTTGTTAAAACAATTTCTTATGATAATTACTTGATGCGAATCCCGCTGTTTGTTTATAACGACGATTTGCCTCGCGAAGATGTTCTGGTGTGAGGGCGCCTGTTTGATTCCAGTCTTTCTGAACTTCACGCGCTAAAATAATAGGATAATAATTTATGTTTGCGTCACTTGACAATGTTTCTCTGAATATAAGAACAAATACAAACCTAATTCAACGATTTCTCCAATATAAACTTTAGTGAAACCAGCAATCACGAAAGCCATTGTCGGTGAACATGGTTGATTAAGTATTTGGCCAACTAACTGAAAAAAGCATTATCATTACTATTACTCAATTGAATTTGTAAATCCTTGCAATTAAATAAATCGAATAACGAAAAAGATAAAAACGGATGAAAACTTACTCTTTTTACATTTGGTTTACTCAATGAAGATCTTCGATATACTTCATAACGTTGCAGTTGCTCTTCTGAGAAATTTTCAAGTAATGCTCTACGAGAAGCATCCCGAAATGAACATTCTAGCATTCGACACCCAAATCATTAAGCAAGCGATTTACCTCAATTCCTCCTTGGATCTTTTCATTTGTGCTTGCATATGCAAATCCAGGTCCATGGCAAACTCATCATTTTCTTCATCGTCGTCATCATTATCTTTATCCTTTTCTTCGAGGTTATTCGATTCGGGACTATTAATGGTTACTTGACTATCAAAGACTTCACCATAAGGTGTAGGCGGCACAGATACTCCAGGAGTTGATGGGACACTCGGTGAGGTGGGAGCAGGTGTAGCAGCTGTGGATGAAGAAGGCGACCCTAATTGTTCTTGTGATGTTGTTGGCGAAATTATTGAAGATTTTCGTGCTACAGACGATTTACGACTCATTCCACCGCGGCTACCTCTGCCTCCACCACGACCAGTTCCCCTATTGCCTCTTCCTCGTCCTCCTCCTGCATTACCGCTACCACTAGAGGTTACACCAGGTATAGAGAGAGTTTTTTGTAATTTTGGTCTTTTCCTTGCGGAAGTTGAATTATTTCTTTGTGAAGCTGGTGGTTGGGGTGGAGGGGCTGAATCCATATAAATTTTTACAAAAAAGGAAAGAGAACAGTAGATATTAAGTCTAGTGATTTGCAGCTTTCAAATAACAAAATAACACGCTAGTGTTTTTTTAACATTAATCCGATCACATAAATTTTCCGATTGGTTAACAAAGTCTGAACCGAGCAAAGATGGTTTAACTTCTCATTATATGGCTGAATTATCATTTTCATCGTATGATAGACATCATGCCATCTTCTCGTAAAGTCTTGGTGTTTGGTTCGATAAACATCGTGAGTTTTTCTATGTCTCGATTTATTGACTCATCAGTTTCCGGGCTTTGCGTGTTTTTAATATGACCTGATTTTTGTATGCGTGCTTTTAATATGACATGATTTTTGTATGCGTGCCTCAAATAATTCACAGGATGATTTTTTTGACGTGCCTCACATTGTAAATTCTGGCGAGACATTAACCAGTACTAATTATCGACAGCGTGCTGGTGGAAAAGGTGCATTAATCAACTGATTTCATCATGAGAGAATCAAAATCATTGAATGACATAATCTTATTATTGTTATTGGGTTCTCGTATTTGATTCCGAATACGGCATTTTTTTTTACTTCTTTTCGTGTATTTTTTTCTAGGTGCTAATCAAGCAGTCGCTTTAGCAAAGGTTTTTATTTGCTTTTCGAAAATTAGTTTACTAGTTCAACTAGGTAATATAGGATGATAATCATAACAATAACCATAATTAGGCAGGTGCTAATGTTTATCACGCCGGGAAAATCGGTAGTGATGGAATTTGGATAAAAGATTACATGCGAAAGCAAGGAGTTCACGTCGAGAATATTCAAGTGCATAAAGATCAAGTAAGGAAAAAGAATTCATTCATTCACTAGAATCACCAAAGGATCTCAAAAAATATAACACAAAAAATATCCAATCAAAACTAATTTAGCCAACAGGGCGTGCCATAGTTCAAGTCTCAGCTGAGACACACGATAACGCGATTATTCTTTTGCCGGGGGCTAATAGTCTTATAACGGTACAGGACGCGGAAAAAATAAACCCAGTTTTTCGGCGAGGAGATATTGCCATCTTACAAAATGAGATTAGTGCTGGCGGAGAGATCATGAAAGCATTAAAGGAACAAGGTAAATTATATCGCGCTATAATTCATGACAAATCATCCAAGTATACTTCAACTCAATTTCTATTTCCGTTATTTATCTTAGGGTTCAATATAATATTCAATCCAACTCCAATTACACCAAATATCATTCGCGAATTTCCTTTTGAACTTGTTGACTATCTAATAGTAAATAAGCACGAGGCGATTCAATTAGCAAACCAAGCGACATCAAATCTTCACCGTGATGACGAAGATAACGAAGTACTAAAAATGGATACTTACGCCTCGACAAAAGAATCTCTCATTAAAACCCTTGGTGAATTACATCCAAATATAACTGGGATAATTCTTACACTCGGTAGTGATGGAGTAATTGCAAGATTCAATAATCATAATTACAATATCGAAAGTGAAGGAAAACAAGGAGATCGCAATATTGTTAAGCAACAGCGACACTTTAAACTTGAAGTTCCTGTAATCGAGACCGATGTGATTGATACCACAGCAGCCGGTGATACATTCATTGGATACTTTGTCGCCAGCATTATTCGCGAAGAGAATACAAATCGTGATAGCTTTGTTCTCACTAAAGAATGTTATTTAAGAGCCTTGCAAGAGGCGACTGTTGCTGCTGGGATTGCCGTGAGCAGACCTGGTGCGATGGATAGTATTCCACCATTGGCTAAAGTTAAAGCGGGAATGAAAGTTTTTGATGAACCTCCTATGGATTATGTTGAATATGAAGAAGATCTTGGTCCTCAACGATCAAGTACTGTTTGATGATTTGATTTATATTTATATTTATATTTCTTTATATACAAAATATGAGCATATATTATTTAATAACCCAATTCAATAAGCAAAAATTTCAAGATCATGTATCTCATCTCTTGATTCGTTAAATATTCTACTGTATGATATATGATCCAAAACCAAAAATGCACTGCATCATAATTTTGTTGTTGTTTTGTTTTGATTATTATAGGACGTTCAACTAAATTTATCATCTTCGGGTATTGCTAATTTAGAATGCTACCGAGTAATTCAATGACATGATCCAGCTTGCGAAAATTTTTGGTCTGAACTGTGCAATAATCAAAGTCTTATATAGCACTACTCTGTGACGATTTACTTGAAAAACATTTCACACTACAAAATTGCGATTCACCTGTGATCGGCGAAAACTATCAAATTATAAAACCTTATTCTTGATTCAGCTGCGCCAAATAATTTTTTGTATTTTACTTTTATATCGATTAAACTAAATATTACGTACAAATGTTTATTCATCTCGCTTTAAATCCATAAATTAATCGAGAATTAAAGCTAATTAATAACCAATCTAATTTCATTCATTCAGGACTTCAAGTAGATGATCTAGTATTGCAGAGGAATGGTTAATTAACCCATCGATAAAACAATATCACTTCAAAAATACTTACTTTGCCCACTCAACGCGCAAAATTAAATTATCGTATCCGTATCCATTGATTGCTTGCAAGGCTTTTGCTGCATCGTCACGTAATACAAAACTGACGAACGCAAAACCTTTACACACATTTGTTTCTCGATCTCGTGCCAAGTATACACGAGATATTGAGCCAAAACGTCGGAATAAATCATGAATATCGTTTTCAGTGGTGTCTTCTGATAGATTTGTGACACGAATCGTGGCGTCATCTAAGCAGCAATTAATATATCATGAACAATAGATATATTTAGAATTATTTGATAATCCTGATAATGTAAAATACTATTATGAAAACTACATACCTCGTCTCTCTTTAGAATAGGTATCAGTTGACGCTGTCTTACCACCAGCACGTGCGTTTGGAGGAACATATTTAGTAGGACCAGTTGTCGTTTCGGCAGGTGTTGTTTCCGCATTTGCTATTTTAATTTATATAATTTTATCAGTAATTCAAGCAGAAAATAACATACAAGCATATGAGAAATTAAACACATACGAGGATTTTTTACTTCCTCTAAAACAATTGTAAGTTCATCCAAAGGTTGAAGCGTATCTTTGTAAGGGCATTTTGTAGTAAAATGATCTCCTTTACAGATACGACAGAGGATTTTCTTGCCAAGTAATAACTTCTTCTTTGCCGAATCGATGTCTTCCGTAACCTCTGTTTGCTAACAGTGAAAGATTAGAATATGAGTATCTAGTTTGTGATATACCTTCTACAACAAATTCGAGTCATCATTGTATAAATTTTCTTACTTTGCCGGTGGTAGATAATTTCAGGAATACTTGTTCACTTACGCTTGTAGTACTGAGATCAGGGCCATCCTTTTTACCCTTTTCTTCACCAAATTTTTCCCATTTCTAACCATTGATTTGATTAGAACAATAGAAAATTCAATATCAACTGCAAACTTGGATACAATAAATCACCGTCTCGCGCGCGATGTAGTAAGAGATCCGATATGTATATCATTAAAAATTGTAAAATACCTTTCTCTCTGCCACAATTTTGTTAACATGCGTAGTTATTAATGTCTTTTTTATTTTTCTCGTAATCTTTTACATGTAATTTGTGAAATTTAATATAAAATCTGAATGACATCCAAACAGACTAATATATTACTGTATTTACCTTGACTTTTTTCCCTTCATCGTTGGTTCGATATTCTATTACAGTTTTAATTCCTGTTTCGTCGATTGAATTATCAGAAGGGAGTTGATCTAAAACCAAAATGCACGTCGTTCAATAAATTAAGTTCGACAGGCTTTGCATTTAGCTATACGTATCAAAATTTTGATTTATTTTACCAAATTCTTCTCCTACTTCGTCTGCCCAACTATGTTTTTGAGGTCTAACAGTAAAAGAGTTGATGCGTTTAAGTTTTGAGAGGCAAAAAGGAAACTCTAGATTTATTAAACTTACGTTGATTCAACAGGCATGGTGAAATTAATGTTAAAAAAACTATGACATCACTTTTACAATCATATAATAGGGCTTTCATGTTTTTTTTTCACATGCAACATTATGTAATAACAAGTGCATAAGACATAATAACGTTTTGCTCAAATAAACAAACATTTCATTGTTCATATTACATAAGTCTCGCTCTTAAAGTATCTAAATGATTTTACATGTTACTTTTAGTCTCCCATCGTTGTTTGGTTTCAAATCTGTCATCAAATCGTGATAAAATTAATAAAATTAAATAGAGAAAAAACGTAGAAATGAAGATAAACATACCCCCACTTCAATTTCGGTTTTTTCCTATTTGCCCGAGCTTTTTCTTCACGCTACGATTAAAAATAATATTTAAGAATACTAAATAACCATCAATTCAAATAACTAAAAACTATTACCTGCTTGGCCTCAGCAAACTCTTTACGTTCAATCGCTTCTTTCACCGTCTTTTTATGGTCCTGTTCAGCGATCTCGTCACTTAATTTTGTTGCTAAACCAAGATTTCCTTCTTTTATTGCTTGATCTAATTGTTTCTCTAATGTTCCCTTTTTTCCATATAAAAAGAGCGAAATTATGATGAATTATATATCGTATATTTTCCACTCAAATCATAAATCGATTCTTCTACCTTTGGATTGAGTCGTCCGTGATCAACACCCTTCAATTGGGAATTCATGCCTATATAATGAGCAATGCCTTGTGGTAATGGGGTAAATTCAGTTGTTGCTGTTGTAAAGGACCATTTGTGGTTTTTGATTTTTCTCGTCTTTAAATCATTCTCTCGGTCCAGGTTTGTCTCATCGACTAAATTTTGAAGGAATCATTAAATCAAGTTTGAACTTGTTAAAGGGGCTACAAAGCTTCGAATAATCCGAATATGATACTTTGCTGTCTCTGCTATCTAAACCATCCCTCAAGTCATTGATTTTGCGCTTTTTAGACCTTTGCTCTTCTTGAATTTTTCTCTTTTTATACGCATCCTCTTCCTTCCGGCGAACTACAGCCTGAAATCTTTTTTGCAAGTCTTCCAAGTGTTTCTTTGTATCTTTATGCGCAATCGAGGTTTGTGCGGAGCTTTGTGAGGTTGTTCCTTGAATTTCTTCTACTTTGCTACCAGTAATGAGAGTTTGGTCTTTATGTACATAGTTATTCATGGTTGCTACACTTAAATCCACAAACAAAATTTGGTTTTTTAATATGTAGAATAATGCCAATCATGATAATCGGATTTCAGAAACCTATATAAATAGACGACACTACATAATCTAGATATCCCAATTTTCATATGAAAGAATGATCAAATATCGAACAGAAGGATTCAATGGATATTCGGTATTTTTTAGATTATTCATCGTGTTCATTGTCAATTTTAACGAATTGAAACTGATTTTATCTGACCGATAAATAACAAGTTACAATTCAGTCCATTTTTTGAAAACAAGCTTGCTTGTACAACCGCTGCCAATTACGGACTAGTTGGGAATGGACGATTATTTATAATAAATATTGGAATGGGTCCAACTGGAATTGAAGTTGAACGAGTGTACGTGATCTCTGAATATGACGACAGAGGATCAAAATAATTCATTTTATGATGTGAATGATTTTTCATTAGATTTGACACACAAGACGGATTGTTCGATTGCTCATGGAGTGAAATTAATGAGAATCAAATCGTGACTGCGAGTGGTGATGGTTCTATCAAATTATGGGATGTTACACTTCCGGTTGGTATAATATCTATCATTACCAATAATAATAATTTTTGACTTACTGCATCTGAATATGTGCTTATGGATTTTGATGTTGAAGGATTTCCCGATAAGGAATTGGCAGGAACATCAACGTGAGGTGTTCTCGGTCCATTGGAATCTTGTTAAAAAAGACACAATCGTCAGTGGATCTTGGGACACTACAATTCGAGTGGTAAACTAACAAATCTATATGTTTAGTGTGATGATTTTCCCTTCATACTTAACCTCTAAAAAATAACAGTGGAATCCTGAGCTTCCACAATCACTAAGAACCTACGCAGAACACACAAAATGCGTATACAACACCACCTGGTCTCCGCACAATCCCGAAATATTTGCCTCTGTATCCGGAGATCAAACTTTAAAAATATGGGATCTTAAATCCCCAGCAAAATCAGTACAAACAATTCCAGCACATCATAACGAAATACTCTCACTAGACTGGAACAAGTATCAACAGAATACGCTGGTTACCGGATCCTCGGATCTGACAGTAAAACTATGGGACTTGCGATATCCAAATCGTGAAGTGATTTCGCTGCTTGGTCACGAGTACGCGGTCCGTCGAGTTAAATGTTCACCTCATAATGGTGACATTGTGGGTTCAGTCTCATATGATATGACAATGAGATTATGGGATACTAAATTGCCGAACCCGTTGATCGAAGTGCATGATGATCATACAGAATTTGTTGTTGGAATTGATTTTAATTTGTATGTTGAAGGTCAGGTTGCTACTTGTGGTTGGGATGAAAAAATACACGTGTTTCAACCGGTTGCTTTGATTTTGAGAAATTAATTACAGTCAGACCTCGATTTAGTGACTAATAAGAGCACATAAAACCAGGCTCAATTTAACGAGATAGCAACATTTTTACTGCATCACGATAGTTATTATCATCTGTGATGTTATCATATCATTGCAATTAACATGTCAAAATTATGGAATCAAGGCTAAAATATTCTGTAGTCCGACAATAATTAATACTACTATGAATATGGAATATGTTTTCCTATTACCTATATAATCATCTCCATTATAATCACAGTATATAAAAATCTTTATAATCATATTCATAATAAAATCCTGTTATAATCAAATTTACTGTTGAATTGTTAAAAAACTGTTTGTTAATATTTGCGTTTTAAAACAATTTGAATTTTTTTTTATTTTATAATATAACAGAAATTTTTATTATAAATTTTCAAATTAGATATTTTCTTAATATTATATTAAGATTTATATAATTTATTTACTATAGATCAAATTCTTTTATAGCAGAAATCCCAATAATTTTATCAATAAAGAATTGTGCGGATTGTCCTAAGATATGTTTGGTATTACGAAAATCCATATATAGTTATCCCAGAGCATCTTCGAGAATTTGGTTTTATTGAATAAAATAAAACTTTAAAATACGTTAGCATCAATCAAGTCGTATCAGCGTGGCAAATTATATTGATAATCAATTTATTTAACTCAATTTAGGGGATGGCTAAAGCGGAGCAGTCCCGTGACTCAAGTAACGCCACACTGGTCACACTGATCATCTTTTAATATGAATCATGTGATATTATAAAGTTGTTTATTCTGTAATATGAATCATAATATTATAAAGTTTTTATTCTCTTTGGACTTCTCACAGATCTTTATATATAGTCAAATTCCTCTATAGTCACACCTATTTATAGTCACATCCCTCTATAGTCATCTTATTTTACTTTCCTATTTACATATAAATATAGTAAAAAAAATCTCTTTATAATCACATCCTCTCTATAGTCACCAAATTTTGCTTTTTCAAGAGTGATGACTATAGAGAGATTTGACTATATTATTATAAATCAAATTTCTTTATATTATTTTTCAAATTTTAAATATTGTAAATTATTTTAATATAATAATATTATCTTATAATATTACAAATTAAATGAAAACATTAAAATATAATTCAGATAATTTTACTTGCAATAAAATATTTGAAGAAATATAAATAATATTTTGTATTGGTTTTATAATTTCTGTGCCAGTATTATTTAATATTGTAATATTATTATTTGAAGAAAATTATTAGTAACTTGAAAATAAGTTCAGTCATGTAATTTGTATTATAATAAACTAGAATTATTACTTTTTTTTAGAGGATATCTAAGCAAAAACTTCATCACACAACTCAATTTCTAAATAGCATTGAAGATGGATTATATAAGAATCTGCAAGATAAAAAATCAAATTTCAATCATCATGCCAATTATTATTATAACTAACTTTACTTCAAATATAATAATTGTTATCATTATTATCACAATATAATTAGCAATAATATTATTTATTAATATTACCATTATCATTATTAAAAGTAAATTATATTAAATCAGCATATTCTCTAATGATAATTATTATAGTAATAGTACAAATAAAAATATTTTTTGATAATAGTATCATCATTATAATTATTATCATTATCATTATTACAGTAATACAAATATAAAAATATTTTAATTAGTTTATAAAAATAATTTATTTATATTAAAAAAGATAAATATAGTCAAACCTCTTTATAGTCATCACCTTCAAGAAAACAAAATTTGGTGACTATAGAAAGATTTTTTTTACTATATTTATATGTAAATAGAAAAGCAAAATAAGATAACTATAAAGAGATATGACTATAAATGGATGTAATTTTAGAGAGATTTGACTGTACAAAAATTTATTTTCATTATATTAAAATAAATAAAAAGTTTATTAAAACAAATAAATATAAAAGTTTAGTTTAAATTATAAGAATTACAATCTAAAGTAATATCATATCAATTGAGAATTTTAAGAAAAATGGAATATGCCTGATATAAACTGATCTTATTGAGAGATATTACTTTATCAAACTGACTTATTTATTTGAAGATTAGACAAGTAACTACAAAAAAATATTTAGTACAAAAATTAAACTACTAGATGAAACTTATAAAAAATCAAAGTAAAAATAATGTTTATCTATAATAACTTCACTACTAATATAAATACTATACTAAATTAAGAAGTGCAAAATGTCAAAAGTAAATATATATGATAATTAGAACAGACTTTTCAAGTATTGGTAATATTTAAAAGAGACATGAGAAATGAATCAAATCAAATAAAATAAAATAAAATATAAAATGTTATTATTACAACAAAGTTGATTATATATATAAAATAAATTAATAAATTAATAATTGATTAATTAAATCAATTTTGATAATTCTAATATATATTACCTATCAGTACAATATATTACTTTGCAAACTCAATCACCATTAATTAGATGAATTTCATAATTAATTGTTATTTTTCTAGATAAAAGTCTTAAATTCTTTAAATTAAAATTAATTATTTAATTTGTAACAAAATTAATATCTTAAATACTATTACCATTATAAATTATTATATATTATTTAACTATTTGTTGACATATTAGGATAAAAAATCAGTTAGTATTATTATTATGAAAAGCTTAGCATTTATCTATAATAATGTTATTTCTTTTACATAATAATAATATTTAACAAAGAATAATAATTATTATAAATTTAATTGGTTTTTATTTAAGAAATTTTAATTGGTTTTTTATTATAAATTAGATTTATATTATAATACATGTTTAATATAAATTATTTTATTAAAATTTAATATGTATTCTACTATTTCTATATTTTAATTAATTTTTCTCATGTATTTAATTTTCTTTGTGTTATATTGATATTGTTATGATATGAATATTTAGTTCTTATTTTATTGGTTAATTCATATCATAAATTTAATTGGATGATATTTTA